TCGGTGTGCTCGTGCGCGTTGAATTAACGCAAAATTCGATTCGACATTCGGTGGCGGTGTGCCCTTTTCGGGAGTTAGAATTTTTGACGGTACCATTGGTCCCATGGTCATCAAGTTGATTGATGCTACGCACGGTAGTAATGCTTTCAGTGAATTAGAGGCCTCAGTTCATCAGTGAAAGGAGTTGATCGTGGGAGTCAAGTTGATAGGTCGTGAAGATGGCAGTTGAATTCTATCGGAAGCAAAAGTGCCAGATTTCGTAGCCCAACTGTGCGAAGTGAAGTGAATGGTGAAATCACTAGCTGGAAAACGTTTGCGAGTGAGTTTTTTCGTGACGAAACGGTGGCATGAAATTGGATAATGCTGATCTAGATTCTATTGCTACGACGTGAATCGATATTGGCAGCTAGCACCGAAGGGATTGCATCAGCAACGTGAGCTACTGAGAAGCACGTTTTGGATCAATAACTGAAGACGAGCGAAACAAAAAAGCCACAACAACACATCGGCGAAGGGATATACTAGCAGAGCTCGGGTGTCAGGAGCTACATTGGGTAAGTTGAGTCGTGTTCTGAAAAGTGATCTTTCAATTGAAGGGTATCTACATGGGTCGATTTCGTTGCGGGCAATAGAATGCTGAATTGAAACTGATACAATGTTGCAATGAATTAATGCAGTGTTGGACCTTCCATCTGCGGCAAGTGGGTTAGAACTTTTGATTTAGTGATTGTTACGCAGTCATTTTATGTGAACCCAAAGTACACACTGAAATTGATTTGAATTTTTTCCAAAATTTCCTTACAATTTGCTTCTCATCAGCATACAAACTAACAAGGACTATTTATGATAGTGCTTTGGCTATCTAATCTAAATACTCTCTATCAACGCGTGCAAATTGTTTGCAATCTGTAAAATTAATATGAGACTCCACCACGAACAAGTTCAAACATAACCTAGCTGGCAAACAGGGCACATAGCGTCTTTCACCTTTTCCTATATCCCCTGGCAAACCAAGCATAGCGGCAAAATTGCCAACCGTATTCGAAGAGGGAAGCAAGAGTCGGAACGATGGCAAACGGCACGATAATGATAATGGTGCATCGTTTTGGACTAGGCCAAATGTCGCAAGCCCATCAACTGGATTACAAAACAGCCTCCTCCTATATAGGCCTCCTTGCCATCCAATAATAGCACACGAAAGGATTTCACGCATTCACACGTCTGCTGTGGGTTGCTTACTTGCGTGTCTACTTTTCGGCCAGGGCCTGTCTGGGTCGCTCCCAGCAGGGGAGGATTAGAAATGATTATTTTAAGGAACGCCAAGTGTTTTATCGAAATTACTCGTTTACACCAACCGACGACGACGACTACGAGGGTTGGCAGCGACGGTGAATCCATCGGAGTGTTAAAGAAAGGTTGACCACAGTTAGCAGGGTTCCTTGTTCTTTTTTGTCCGATCCCAATGGCATTGCGATGGAAATAGGCGAAGTAATTAATTAACGAAAGCGGCTAAATTCGACGAAATGATGATGGTATTTCCCGGGAATTGATGGCTGGGAATGGAGAGGAGATGACGGTCGGTCGGGGTGATGTTCAGTAGAATTTGTTTACGACAACGATAATGGCTCAACGTGACGGTAATGGAGCTAGACAATCGTTTGTAAATCATCGGGACGTGTTATCTGGATTGTTGGGAAATGAACTTTGATGGCTGCTAAAAATAGTTGGGATGATTTTTACGTGACTGTTTTTTGAAATGCAGAAAGTGATCGCACAAAATTCCGTTCTCATATAGCTCACGGTTTACTTCTAGCATGAAATTTACACCGTGAACTAGGGTATGACCTCGACCGTGCTGATTTCTTGTCCGGTTACTGCGATGAGTAACGCCTTTGCTCATGGAAAATGGTGTAAAAGAATATATTCCTACAACACGATCGATCAAGCAGTGTCCAAAATGGCAATCTAGCGGGAATAAATTATTTACTCTGTTTCTATTCATTTTATGGAGTTGATGTCTTCGTAGACTTTGTTTATAATTAAATGGACCTTCTTTAATAAAAATGACCCTTATATTAACTTAAATCAGAAATATACCTTTTTTGTTCTAAGATACAGCTGATTACCTTCTTCAGCAAAGTTGTAGAAACAAGTATTTCAAGCAACTTGACTGGAACCATCATTATTCTACCTCTTCATTTGACCTTGCTAGAACTATTTTTCAGCTTTAAACTAGGGTGCCCCTTAACAATAAGTTTTATTAATCTATTTTTTTTGTTTCAAATGTTTCAAAAATATGATCTTCAGAAGAGTTGTTGGAAAATTATGGCACATGGTTGTGCTCAACAAAGTATTTGGATATAACTTAACATTAACAAGTGAACATAAACATGCTGTCTTCAAAATGCTCAGATAATTTTATAATTGATATGGGAGAAAAAGTTTCTTTTTATTTTAATTTTTAAAATACCTTAAATTAATTCCAAAATTACGTGTTACTCATGAACGTCTAAATATAGCATTTTGCTGTCTTCTGCAAAGTGTCCACTGTACTTTAATTTTAAATGAAATGTTAAAGAGGGGCTGCGCACAGTGGTTCCAAAGTAGGAGCTCAGTTCGAAAAAGTAGTGTAAATTTCTGTTGAGTATGATGCACATAAATGGCGCGTCACATATCATATACGTTTACATTATATATCATGTAAAGTTCTGAGACATTTCATGCAATGTAGCAAACATTGTATGCAAAATCCCATTGTTGAAAACAAAATTGTTTACAAGTTGCTCGGTTGCGTGAAATTAAATGCAAGTTTACGTGAATGAATGTTAACATTACAGAATTTTTATCTGTGAGGAAACAATGATTTGCACATGAACCATTAGTTTTAGGTAAATAAAGTCGTCAGGGAAGATTTTCCATTTATTGCAGCAAATCTTTTAGAGTGAGTTAATTTAGGCTGGTCTCTGTGCATACGGAGTTCTAAATATAAAAGTTTTAGTTATTTGAGATAGACCAGCACAATATTGCACAAAGTTGTAGAAACAATTAATTGTAGCAACTTTGCTGAAGACATCAATTGTCTATCACTAATGTAAAACGTTTAATACTGTTTGTTGAAAAGCATCTTAGAGTGGCCCCTAAAAATCAGTTTTATACAATTTACTTGTTATAGATTGATTTCCCGTAAACTGTTATTTCTAAACATTTTCTGAGCTAAATTGGTTGCTAGATTAACGTGCCATCCCTTTTTTTTTAAATTTGTAGATGATTTTCGTTAAACAAATATAAGTCACTTAATCCCGGAGCAGAGATGAACCTAAATAACTAGAATGTGCAAATGATATCGAGTATTCTTCAGAATATTTTGCTGGAGCTTTGGTCAGGGATATGCTATCTTTGGAAATTGCAAAGATTTCAGCATATTTTTTTTTAGAATTGCTGTTCAAAAGTTAAATATTAACGCTAGAATAAACATAAACTAAAAAAATAATCTTAATTCAAACAAATATGTACAAAACAGTTGGAACTAATCACTATAAAATGTTCTTTAGATTTAACAAATACAAGGGAAATTTTCAAACCACCCGACACACTCACATATACGACCTTATTTCGAGAAAATTTCTTCAAAATTTGTATAATCAAATATTACAATTTGAAATATACATCTAAGACCATGTAAGGACGAACAGAAAACATGATTTTCATGATGTATTTTTTCAATTAATGGCCTTTGGGGGAATCATTGTGCTGCAGTGCCATGTGACTCCCGACAGCGGCTACAAAAAGTGATATTATGTGGCTTTATTATAGTGTACGTCAAGTGTAAGGCCAGCAATAACATACAGTGGAAAATGAGTGCGTGTGAAATGAATCGCATGTCCTTGGGTACGAAAGTAACCCCGTTGGCTTCGTACCACTCTAGGACAACATTTTAATTGTGGCACGAAGCTAGATCCGGCAGAAGATCGTAGGGCCCTCGTGTTGCTTCAACAGAGGGAAGCAGACGTTTCTCCTTGAGGTAGATCTCCCCGTTTACAGTCCCGGTAGTCACGAACGGCGTACCCCGTTTGCCACATGAGCAGATTGCTTGCCAAATCATGTATTTTTTGGCAAACTTTGAATGTTTCTGCTTCCTTACTTCCTCCGGAACATTAAACTTGTGCTGGGTGGTGATGAACAGTAGCCCCGGAAGCTGCCGGAAGTCCGCCTTGACGTAAGTTTCATCATCCATGATGAGACAATGAGGCTTCGTCAGCATCTGGGTGTACAGTTTCCGGGCCCGTAACTTTCCCACCGTATTTTGCCGTTCGTCACGATTTGGAGCCTTCTGCACTTTGTACGTATACAGTCCCTTCCGATCGTTGGCTCTCTGAACGAAAGACTTGGACAGATTCAACTTTTTGGCCACATCTCTGACCGAAGCATTGGGATTCCGCTTAAACGCTTTCACGACACGCTTGTGATCACTATTAGAACATCTATTCTGACCGCATTTCTCATTCCGTTCGGTGCTCAGAGTTTCGTACTCAACGGTGAGTCGCGTGATTAAACGACGCGACTCACCGTTGACTGCACGATTCGCAGTTTTTTTTTCCGATGTCCCGATGAGAGAGTTGAGGATTTTCCAGGTGCTTGCCCAAAATCAATTCAAAACGTTTCTTTCCGGGTGACTGCATTTTTTCCAACTTTCCAATAACTGACAACGATAGAAATACAGTGTAAAAATACACTCTAAACTACTTCTACCCAAATTTTCAATAGAAAGTACCCAATGGGTAATTTTCTACAGCATGTTTTTCCGTGATGCAATTTGATGTGGGACACCCTTTAAGTCCAGTAGATTGACTTAAACTTTTCTTAAGAATTGGTTTTCTTGAAAATTTTAGATTATTCGGCCAAACAAATCTGCTTCCTCATCACAGATCATACCAAACTTACAATCCTACACACTTAGCAATAACTAATTTTGCACGTGGCGGAATCCGTCTTTGACATAAAATATGAGACGTAAACAAACATGTCATGTAATACTAAGTGCTCCGAGACTGAAAACTTCGTTGCTCGACGAAAAGTACGTTTGATTGAGCTCAGAGCACCTAAATTTACATGATTTTTTCTAAGTGTGTATGATATTGAGCTACCATATTACTCCGCTTATTTTCAACCGCTTTTTGAACACAGTATGCAAATTGTTCTGAAATTTCATGTTTTACATGAAACTGAAACCTATATTTATTTTTAAAGATATGTGATCTCCAGCTAACTTGTAGCTGAATTAATTTAAAGTTGCTTTGTTCAACACAAATTTTTGTCTATCTTAAGACTATCTTACTTTAGAGTAATTTTTCGGCATTGACGAAGGGATTTTTAGCAAAAACTTTTTTATTTAAAGTTATCCGTGCATGCAAAATCTGATATTTCAAATTTATCTAAATAGAAGAAGGCGTCATTGGGACGGTACTAATGGATATTTATGGTCGCTATTGAAAATTTAGTCGATTGCTAAATTTATGTATGGGCCCAAATTAGGTGCATGTAGGCTGACATTTCA